TTCGCTGTCGCATTTTCCTTGGGTTGCGAGAGTCGTTTCAACGAACGGATCGCATGGCCGTGATTGTCTGCGCTTTGGTTTTGCAGCCATACCGAGCCATACCGAGCTCTCCGCAACTCCATGCCTTGAGAACTTTAACGTTGCCGTAAAGCTTAACATCAACCTCAAAGGGCATACACCCAAGAGTTGTGCTACCGTATCATCCGCGCGCTGGACTCAAGAGAAGACGAAGGTTGAAGTGTCGTTCCCAACTATTTCGGCCACTCCTTCTCAGTTGTACGGCCGGCACCAGATGTACCCCAACGCAAAACGCAGCGAGATGTGAGCGGCGGCGGCGTGAAATGCAAGCCGGGGGAGTCCGTAGTGTTGGTATGGTTGTGGTAGCGGACACGGATACCGTCTCTTTGGATCATGCTGTTGTCATCGGATCGGAGATTTCCCCCACCCCCCTTTGATTCGATTGACCAGGAATTGGCACGAGCATGCTGTTATACTACCTCATAGCTCGCTTCTGTAACTGAGGGTTTGTTTACGGATAGACTGGCTAGCTGTCAAATGGGCTGGGATGGGCTGGGCTGGGCTGTCCAGCACCTCGGCGTTGGCTCCTGTCTCCAGACCACAAGGCGGCGGTGAGAAACAAGGCCCAGGTCTTGACATCGGACACGCATGGATGCTTCCTTGTACACATGGCGAGCAAGCATAAGCAAGATGGTCGGAGATGTTTGCTACTGTCACTAAGGGACAGACAGAAGGACGAAGAGGCGACGAGGACCCTTGGAAGCGCGCCAGTGTTTAACAACGACCGCCAAAAACGGGCCAGAGCTATGGGGTAACAGGACGAAAAAAGAATGATGCGAGTCGACGATACCAAGGCAGGGAACCGAACGGAAAGACTCCCGACGTGGTGGAGAATGGGTCATTCTGTGGCGTCAAAGGGTCATCCAGCAGGCTTTGCATGCTCACTCGCCATTCCGAGAAGAGGAATAATCGTCCGCGATCGAGATCTCTCTCTGTGGCTTGTGCTCGCTGTGCTCCTCTGAATCTGGGTCGACGAAGGCACAACGGGGGTCCAAGGCATGTCAGTCCCTTTTGGGCAGTACATGGGCCCTGCCGTTGCAAGTGTCATCTGTGATTGGCACACACCGTGAAACCATCGAGATGGATGGCACGTGTATTGCTTACCTGACGCGGTTAGTCTGTGACGGGGTCCTTGTAGTAGACACTTTGCCGTTTGGGTGATGCTAACTCACGTCCGTCTCGTCAGGCACGAACACCCTAAAACACCGAAAAGCTGAGAGGGTTCGTTCAGTATTGCGGAAGGTCTACTCATGGGCCTGGCATGGCTGGCCGTTATCAAGACGGTAGCAATTTTGCACCAGATTCAATTTCCCGTGTAAGAGCGAGCGACCGGCCCTAAGAGATGAAATGCCAACGTCTGAGGCAATGCAGGGCGAGTAAGAGGGACAATGGGCAGTAGTCTGCACGAAGTAGACCTTTGGCATGGAGTCGACAAGGGATATCAGTCGACCACTGAAGTTAATCTCATCGCCCAATTGTGTCTGCCCTGGTGACCGTCCGCATTGCTCTGGGCAGGCAACCTTCTTTTTCGCCGTTACAAATCCGCGTATGGCGGCATGGTATTCTTCACAAATGCATATCCAACCATTCGTCCATCTCAAAACTCTGTCACAAACCTTGGCCTAACCTTGGCCTCACTAGTCCTTTCCCCCACCACCAATTTTCGTCTTGTCCGGACTTTGGTACATAAGTCGGCACACACATGACAAACGCGCATCACGTCGATCTACTTGCACATGGCATAGTGGCGATTTTGTAAGGTGGGCGTGAGCGTGGGCGTCATGGACGACGATTGTCGCCCGCATCGCTCATGATGCTCGTGTTTGGCCGCCGTATGCCATGTTGTTGGAGTGATTCAGCTCGATGAGTTGGGGTCCCAGAAGAACATGACAGTCGGTGGCCAGTGTTTCCGAGAACCCAACGATGCCTCCTTATCCGAGTCCCTCCGATTATGAAGCACGCGCGAGTAAGTCGCCGTGGTCAGAGTGAGGAGGACGAGCAAGCGCGGTGCGGCATCGGGTCGAGCCCATGTACACCGAGGCACACCAGCCAACCGTTGATAAGCTTTGTTGTGTGTTCCTCCAGGCGTAAGTATGCATACTTAGTAGTAGAAGAGCCAAAGGTGAAGAGGCACTGAGTGATGCCGCCGTGTTTTGGCGGTTCGTCAGAATTCCATCATTGTAGACACGGAACGAGAGTGAGGGATGCATGGCCTCGCTTACGGAGTTTTCTCCGGGCGAAATAGCTGTATCTGTACGATATCAGTGTGGCGGCACCCTCGCACGCGGTGTGGTGTGGTGCGATGCACGTACCATGAGCTGGGAACGGCTGCTGCGTCTTCCGTCAGGCAATTACCTACCAAGCAACGAGCTGGAAGCAGGTCCCTGAGTGAGGGCAGTTGAGTTACTGGGGTCCATACTTTGGCACCAGTGAACGAACTGATGGGACGTGGACAGAAACCCCCTTCGGCACAACCAACGTCAGGCGGCTGAGTTGGCACCCATTTCCAGGCGAGCGATGCTGCACCAGAACCCTTCGCGCAGCTTGTGCGTATCAAGTGCTGTCCTCAGCATCACTCCTTGCTGCGTACTCAGGTGCTTAGTAAATGGCTAGCATGGTTAGCTCGAATTGCGACGGAACGGCGAAATGAGACCCATGGCGATTGGTGTGGTCCCCTGGCTCGTTGTCCAGGTGCCTATCCCATCCGCCATCAGGTAAGGTAATTTAAGTTGCCTTACCTAAGACAGCTTACCCGACTGTCTGTCTGAGTCTGACAGGGACCTTCAGGCTTGAGGCTTGAGGCTTGAGGCTTGAAGCTTTAGAGTGTGGAGGGGCAGCTCCAGAGCTCTACTGCGTAGCTCATTCGGACTTTTGTTGGTCGGGGGCACGAATACTCGATGACTTTAATAAACCCCAACGGCATCTCATCACCTTATGCCTCGGGCAGAGGGCGGCAATATTCTCTTCGCTAGTCCTTCGACTTTTCTTTCCCCCCCTTTGCTCTAGAGGAGGGGTTTCCCTTTCTCCCCTTGTCTGGCTGCGGCGACATAAGCAAAGCGCGTCGCAGAGTCGAAGGGTCCTGTGGCCGGTGTCCTCACCAGCCTACGTTGAGATCTCACAATTGGCAGTAAATCGACGTCGTTTGCTGCGCCCACTCCCCCAAAATGGAGTGGCTCAGTCATACTCCACCGTGCTTTTCGCTGGTGTTGGTGTTAGTTTGGCGCGTGTGCCGTGCTGTGTTGTGTTGGGCTGGGCTGGGCTGTTCCCCCAGTCCCGTCCCGAATACAGATACACCCAATTGGGACAGCCATGGTGAGCCCGTATGAAGACCGCCCCGTCTATCAACACTTGCCTTGGTTATTGCGCACACGCCCCTGCCCGCCCTCCCCTCGTCGTTTGGAGCTACACTAGCTGTGCTGCCGACCCTTCTCCTCATTTTCTTCTTCTGCCCGCCCGTCTGCCGTCCCCTTGGTCCCCTTGGTCCCCTCCGGGAGGTATCCGACGGCAGCTTGTGCTCCAGAAATGTACTTACCCCAAGGGTACTGACGGTACTCCACCGGCTCCTGCGAAGGCGGAGAGGCCCACCACCATGTGGGAGCAGCAGGTACTCGTCCCTCATCGCCGATTCCTATGGTGCATCGTTGATTTCCTCGATTTCCAGGGTCCTAGCTCTACATACGCAGTAGTACTACACTAGGTACGCAGTGGTGTAGCGAGTACCGTTCAATCAAATCAGACACGGAACACACCCCGATTCCGTTTTCCGTCAATCATGCGCCGGCGTCCAGCGCTTTTCTTCCTCAGACCAGAATCTCCATCCCTCGCCTGGGAATCCCATTGCTTTGTTTTTTGCTTCCGTTTGGTGTCCAATTACCGATCCCTTCCTCACCTCACCTTTTCTTTGGTTGTTGCTTGCCCCCACCCCCTCTTACTGCCACCGTTATCCTAGTTGTCACTGGCCTTCGGCATCCTTGTTCTCATGCCATTTTCAGTTTCCTCTCAGTGACCCCTCTACTGCGTACGGCGTACGACACAAAAGCAATCCCAGGGACATCCATCCTTACGTCCTGAACTACTTAGTACGTACGAATGAATATTTGGCAAGTACTCTGTACGCAGCAGCCTGATCGAGGAGTAAGTATCCCCCCTCATGCCCTGATGCATGCGTGCCTCTGTCTCCTCTGGCATTCTTCATCAGCTCACCACTGGCACCACCGCCGCTGCTCAAGGAACCTCGAGTTTTATTCCCGCTCGGCCTTCTCTTTCTTCCCAGCCGCTCATACTCAGGGCATCTGCATCGCATTTTGCAGTACGAGACCTGTGCTGGACCGATTCCCCTTGGCGTCCTGCACACTCCCCACCCCCCATTTCAACTTTCCCATTCTTCACCTTTTGGCGCATCCGTACCGGACCCCTTACTCTGCCACCCTCCCTCTGTCGCACTCCCTCTCTTTCTCTTTCTCCACCCCATCAGATCGACGATCACGACCCTTACGGTAGGTAGGGTATCCAGGCTTCGACGTCGTCGTCAACAGAACTCAGCTCAGCCAGCCCACATCTGCACAATACCTACGGTCCTACTCAGACCCTGAAAATAACGTCCCACTAGCCGCAGAATATTCCGCCTGATCACTGATCGCTGATCACCGATCACGATTGACAGGTACACAGCACGCAGCAAGCACTCGTCTTCCCGGAGTGATTAGTCCGGCTGCTGCCATCAATTCGCAGTTCAGTTAGACAGTGGTCCTTGCGCTAGCTGTTATTCTTCTTTCCTTTTCTCTTGCTGTTGCAATCAGTCGACTTTGCCGATAGGTTGACAGAATAAATCAAGGAACTTGACCGTCTTATCTTTGATTTCGCACTTTGAGTACACGTCGAAGCTTCTCGCTCGCCGACCACAATATAACCAACTGTTTGCGATGGATATGCTTTACGCCGTGCTCAGGTGTTTCTCGTTGCCGCCGCTGAGGTTACACCTTAAATCTACTATGCGATTACTGTCGTCCCGTTCCCTCCGCTCTCATCCCCGTGTTCCGTTGCCCGCTCCAAGCGAGGGAGCGGGCCCTTGGCCCTTGGCCTGGCTGTTTGGCCCGGTTTGCTCGCGCTCGCTGACGTAGTTGCGCAATTCAGATTGCATTTGGTCCCCGGGAAGGAAAATGTGAAGGGGAAAAAAAAAAAAAAAAAAAAAGGCCGCCAAAGAGGGGCTCGCGCTCCGTAATTCTGACAGGCATCTTCACACGTACCGAAGCAACGACCCCCGGGCCGCAACTGAGGTATCTATACAGACAAGTTGAGCGGCACAGTACATAACTCTCCAAGAGGTGAACGGATATCGTGGTACAGCTTGGCAAGGCCTGGACGAGTCCGCAGCCGAGTCTTCCCCACATGCAAGCTGCGAAGCGGCTTCATCTCCTCGTTGAAAGGAAGAACATCGCTGAAATCATACGACTCAACAGACTCAGCAAGAACCATGAGCCGGCCGTCACTCAAAGCCCGAAACCGGCAGGTTAAAATACAGTTGTCTAAAGTCCATTGTTAATGGTTTCGACCTGCCGTTCGAATCTCCCAGCTCAATCCCGCCCGGTCCGAATTCATCTCGGCAGATAGTCTTGTTCTTCATATCCCATTTTCTCAGCTTGCTTTTCTCCTCATCTCCCTGCCATGTGTTGGCTCTTCTCCCCTCTTTTGCACAGATGCCGGTTGTCGGCAGACCTGCAACGCCGTTGCAAAACGGTCAAAATCAGTTGCTCCCCGCCGCCCTATCGTCTGTTCGTTATGCTCAGCGATAGGATTGCCTGAGTCGGCACCAAGCAGTGTACATCGAAGTACTGCGCGTCTCTGTCTCTGTCTGTGTAGAAGGGTGCTCCACAGTTGCCTCAGCAGGGGCAGCCTATGTACGGATATGGATATCGCAGCATGACTAGGCATGTACAATATGCAACATCATCCTCACGTCATTGGCTTTACCATCCCGACATCTTCCCCCGTATCTGAGGACAGATAGGGCACGGGTAGACCCCACCAAAGTGATAGTCTGCTGACTGTGCCCCAAAGCCCGCGCTCTCTCCTTCCGCTCGGAATCAATCATGATAGCCGGCACCCTGCGACGCGAAGCGCACTGCTCAACCTCAACTCAACTGATCAATTATTGTGTCAAATGCGGTACACCTCCGAACATATTCTTCATCATACGTCTTCCACCCTTGTGTCGTCCGGTGGCGCATAAGAACAAATGCTCGGCGCGTGTATGCGATTCCCGCGCTAGATCTCTCTGTTCCTAAGTGACCCCTCCCGTGCCTGCTCAACGGGCAAAGTACGGATACCTGCATCGGTATCGAGTCCGATGGTATTCAACCAACGAGAGCCTATCGCTTTACCCAACCCTCGGAGGCAAGGAAGGCCGCTTGTCCTCGTCTCCGGTACGTGCCCTGCTTTTTGGACGAGGACCCTTGCCCACCGCTGTGGTCACCCTTGCATCCCCTGAGGTATCTGAGGTCAGACCTCCGAGTCTTCCTTACTAGGATCCATTAGCGACAGGGACATTCCCTGCGGGTATCAGGACGATCTTTTGGTCCCTGAAGTTCTGGACCTTCTGTCGACATGGGTGCAAGCTGCAGCCACAAAGTCAAATGTCGGAGCTGCCATCAAAGCGAGCTGCGAAAGCATGGCATTTTGGGGTCTGCCGCTGCAAAAGAAGACGTCCATGTTGTCTAAGGAAGGCCCTGAGCCACAGCATGAAGGAGCAGCGCCTGTTGATCATGGTGCTTCTTTCGTTCAGGGCTCTGGGCGCACCGATTGCATGCTTCAGGGTCTCGGCAGAAACCCCTCCCCTTCTCTCTTGTTTTATCGGCCGCCGCCTGCTTCCATTTCTTCTCGGCGAGGCGGGGATAATCCACTTGATGACCTAAGGTATCCCCACTCCTCACTCTCGTCTGCTCCCCCTGTCCGTCCTGCATGTGCCCCCTCGTGCCCAGGGAACACAATCCCGTACTTCGCACCCTATACGTCATCGTGCCATGAGAATGCGGTCCGGCCCCGCTGCTCGTTCGACCGCGGAGGAAAATCGCCGAAAACCCTACTGTTGCTCGTCCGCCTGTCGACGGAGGGCGAACCCCACCTGAAGGATCGCCGTTTCCCCGGGCACAAGGCCGCTGCCGTAGAGAGACAGAGGCAGAGACTCGAGCCAGAGCGCCGTCTAGACGCAACCGCGGGAGTATCCAGTATCAAGCAAATCAACGTGTAGGTCCTATGCAGGTGTCTCGCGTACATGACCTGTCTAGACAAACTCTGGGTGTTACAACCTCGATCTAACGGATTGCGGTCGCCCGGAATCCAGTCCGGTGCACCCAAGGCCAATCGAATACGACAACGAAAGAAAGAATCGCAGCCGGACAAAGCTATAAGTGAAGGGCTTGAGAGTCCTGTTTCATGGCTACCCCGGATCTGTAATGCTCGCAAGGACGACGGTTCGGCGCCGTCGCAACGCGTGGCGGCTTGAGCTGGCGACCAGTGCGCTGGTGACGGGGCTGGCTGTCCTGTTTCTTCTTCTTTCCCCTTCGCGCCTGACTTTTGCATGTTCCATGGGTTTGCCCTTTTCACCTCGGCCATGCTGCCTTCACGGACCCCTTTACAGAATTTTAAACATCGTCTCGTGCGCAATTGCCTTCAGACGCTTGCTGGGAACGCAATGCCCCCTCTCTCAGATGGAGGGCAACAAGCTTCTCCGCATACCGAAATAGCTAAACCCTCGGTGGAGAGTAACCAGGATGGTATCCTCATCCCCATAATAGACCTAGAACATTGACTGTACTGCGTAGACTTAGAGAACTGGACCAACAAGATCGTGGCAAGCAATTGCAAGCTTCCCCTCACGTTGGCCCCAACCATAACAGGAATAGACCAAGGGTTAATAAACGCCACCACGGCCTTTAGTCTAGTTAAACTTTCAACCTGCCGACGGTTTCCAAGTCTCTCTTCTTTCCCTGCTACGGAGGGGCGAGCGTCAACGCTTTTTGGTGTGATAAGGTGATGACCTCCAAGATGGGACAAAAAAGATTCACTCATGGGCCAGAGTGGCATGACCGCACGGAAGCATACATCACAAGAAGACAACAAGTAGCGACGTACATGACAGCTTCCTGGTGCAGCACAGGCAGCGCTAGAAAACGTTGGACCAACCTTTTGGCGATTACCGTTACAAAGAATCTTACATCTCAACTTTGAAAATAGGTGCCGAGAGGAAACAACCAATACGTCTGTGGCAGGGACGTCATGTTCTCCAAACCTACGTGCAACGGTAAAGCTCCCGTTCCAATTCTCCATGTCGAACGGCCCCCTTCCGAATAGCAAACCTCCAAGAACGCCGCACGCCGACCGTGCCGGCCCAGCCAAACCTGTCGCGGACCCCATTGCCAGCACACCCCTCCAAATGCCGGGATCAGTCTTTCGGGTAAGAGATAGACTTCATGGACATGCTTGGTGTTTTACCTTCCACGTTGCTATGGCTTGACTTCTCAGCCGCTCCGCGGAGGTGGAGGTCCCATTTTACCTGCACCAGTATCAACCTTTTTGCTGGGAGGCAGGTCGGGCTTCTTGAAGCCTCCATTGGACGAGCCAGCAACTTGCGTGAAGGTTCCTCCCTTGAACCATCGGTCCTCCTCGGCCTTCCGCTTTCGACTGAGTTCAGCCTGGACTTTGGGATCGACGAGCTCTAGACCCTGCACAGGAGTGAAGGCCAGTGACGACGCTGTGCCCGTAGGCGCACCAAGCGTCGTGCCGACACCTGACGTCCTGAGACCCTTGCCACGCAGGTCGATGTTGGAGTTTGCTTGCCCGAACCCTCGAAGGGATGATGCTGCCCCGTTCAGCGAAGTTGCGCCGCCCCAACCCTTGTTCTTGGCACTGAGCTTTGCCCTCGTCCGCTGGTCGATTTGCAGGTTGCGAATTCTGCCGTCGTTGGCTTGGCCGATCATACCAAGTCCTGCAGTGCCCTCTCCCGTGCCATAACCGACTTCTCTCTCCTCTTTACCAAATGCCATCCTGTTCTGCGCCTTGCGTAGCTCCGTCATGGCCGTAGCCTCCTTGGCCTTTCTAGCTCTTCTCCCTCCACGCTTGCGCGATGGTTTATCGTCAGGGACCGGAAGCGCTCGGGGGCCCTTGTTTGGTGGTGGTTCCGTAAGCTTCTCTAGTCGCTCGAGACAATGACCCTTGAGCTCTTCACCTGTCGAGCCGTCGGGACTAGAGTGAACTCGGTCTACACGAGCAGCGAGTAGAAGCTTTGCTGCGACAATGCGCATGGCCTGTTTCTTGAGGTCGTTGGGAATGCCTTGAATAATAGGAGAGTGATAGAGAAATCCCTGTTGACGAATGCCAATGTTGGTAGCCAGACCGGCTGCACCGGCTCCTTTCTTCGACCCCCAGGCAGCAATATTGCATGCGGGCGTCTTGGACAGACTCGTCAGCCCTCCAGCAGCATTCAACAGCTGCGCCGCAGTTAAAGATCCGATCATCGCAGTCAAATTCGGCGCGAAAAGGTTCATGCGCGACTGAACGTATTCTGTAAGAGTCTTTTTCGCCCTGTCCAAGGACAACACCATCTCGCATGCTCTCTGCACTCGCATGAGTTCATCTAGCGACATTTCACGACCTTTGGTCGTCGTGGCCTCCACCGTCACGATCATCAGGGATGGACCATCGAGTACCGAACGAAGTGACGCCTTAAGAGGGTTGTCTGTAGAATGCTGCAAAGTCTTGATGTTCTCCGAATCCAGGGGACCATTTCCTAAGATGGCCACGACCTTGGCGTACTCTAGCGGGTTGGTGATGAGCGTTTCGAGTTCGGGGAACCGGATCGAGTAGTGATCTCTAATGAATTTGTGGACGAGAACGATTTCGCTATCGATCAGCGTTGACAAACTATTCGATTGTGTCAGGAGATGGTATTCGGGGTGATCTTCGATATTGCCGATGAGCTGAGTCGGGGTAGGTTGCGACTGATAGTGTGCGATTCTCTGCAGCATTCGAGGTACGAAGTCAGGGCTAGTTCTCCGAAAACGAGATGTAAACACTGCTTCAATAGAGCCAGACGTGTTCAGTGGGTGTTTACTAACCTCTATAACGGGTTCCAGGGTCTGCATGAGACTGGCAACACTGCGAACATCGCTCACGCCGCCTAGTTGCATCTTCTCGACCTTGGACTTGGCATCCTCAGCGTCCTCGACAGTGTCGACGGTGCCTTTACTCACGCCAGCCATGACATCGTCATCTGCATCAGCTTCGATATCATCTGCGTCTAAGTCCATATCGTTTGACGAGCTGTGATTGACCGTCTGGTGCGCAAGGTCGAGACCCAGTGCATCATTGCCATCTTGCTGGGTCTCGTCGGCCTCCGAGCCAGAGTCAGCGAAATCGTTGAAAAGCTCCTCTGCAAGGGTAGCCATGGTGAAAGGTGTCGTCGCGTTCGCCGCGTCCGTCGCGCGTCTTCGTTTGCAAGTCAGCACGCGTACTGAGAGTCTGGCGCCGTGAAAATGATGAATTTGCTGTGACGAAAAGTTGTTTCCTGTGAGCCTTGCAAGGCTACGTTAGAGGCGAACTCGTGCCTGTGCTACCTACCTTGAGTGATCGGGCCCACTTTAGTTTAGGCAGGTGCAGGAGTTTGACGCAGGGGAAGGTACTCACAACCACCAACAACCTCACCCCTAACTTAGGTGCCTTAACAAACTGGGGAGATGCACTTACCTTCCCCAATATTGCAGCAGTAGATAGCTGGTCGATGGATATGTTTGCAGTAGTTCCGCTCCAACGACATAATACAGTCGACAGCCTCTTACAAATTTGAAATCTTCAATCAGTACTGTCAGGTATTGCTGGCAGACGCGGTCTTCAGAGCCCACCAGCCACTTCGTTATCGGGGTGGCTGATTATCCGATAAGAATGAGTGTGCTTTTTCATTGCCTGCCTGCAGGTAGGTCCAACCTTGGCCAAATTGCAACAACACCGTGTGGAGCAACAAGCTCAACGACAGCCAGTTCTCGGGATTTTCAGGAGCGCATGCTTCTCACATTAATCAGAATTCACGGCTACGCGTACCAAGCAACACCATTGATTCGACAACTTCGCCTGTAATCACCAGAATACTCGCAAGCGAAGCCTCCTGGGCACCCGCCGAAGTCATGGAGGCATCTAGAGGACCTCCGAAGGTCAAGAACAAGGCTCCCGCGCCGGTGCAAATATCCGCGGAGCAACTCCTGCGCGAGGCGGTTGACCGTCAGGAGGTCGCGTTGCAAGCTCCTACCCAACGTTTTGCCGACTTGGAGGAGCTCCACGAATTCCAGGGACGAAAGCGGAGGGAGTTTGAAGATTATGTCCGGCGCAACCGAGTGAACCTCAATAATTGGATGCGATATGCGCAGTGGGAGCTGGAACAGAAGGAGTTTCGTCGTGCGCGGTCCATTTTCGAAAGAGCACTCGATGTGCATCCTAATTCCGTTCCATTGTGGATAAGATACTGCGAATCAGAAAGTACGTACGAGCCCGCCAGACCTTGCTCGCATGGGACAATATCACTAACAGTCTGGCAGTGAAAAATGGCGATATTTCTCATGCTCGGAATCTGTTTGACAGAGCCGTCGCTCGGCTCCCACGCGTTGACAAGCTATGGTACAAATACGTTTACATGGAGGAGATGCTGGGCGAGATCCCAAAGACCCGTAGCGTGTTCGACCGTTGGATGCAGTGGCAACCCGACGAAGCCGCCTGGAGCGCGTACATCAAGCTGGAAAAGCGATATGGAGAATACGACCGAGCCCGCGACATCTTCGAGAAGTTCACACAGGTTCATCCGGAACCTAGAAACTGGATCAAGTGGGCACGGTTCGAGGAAGAGTTCGGGACCAGCGACATGGTGCGAGAAGTATACGGGATAGCCGTCGAGGCTTTGGGAGACGAGTTTGTCGACGAGAAATTGTTCGTCAGCTATGCTCGCTTCGAAGCGAAGATGAAAGAGTATGAAAGGGCCAGGGCGATTTACAAATACGCCATGGACCGACTCCCCCGCTCAAAGTCCATGGCCCTGCACAAAGCGTACACCACGTTTGAGAAGCAGTTCGGGGACAGAGATGGCGTTGAAGACGTCGTGCTCTCGAAACGTCGCGTCTTCTATGAGAACCAAGTAAAGGAAAACCCAAAGAACTACGATACTTGGTTTGACTACACGAGGCTTGAGGAGACAGCGGGCGACTTGGATAGTGTGCGAGATGTGTATGAGAGAGCCGTCGCCCAGGTGCCGCCTGCACAGGAGAAGCGATTTTGGAGGCGTTATATCTACCTCTGGATCAACTACGCCATCTTTGAGGAGCTACAGGCGAAAGATGTTGAGCGAGCTCGGCAGATTTACAAAGTGTGCTTGGAGCTCATACCTCACAAGAAGTTCACCTTTGCTAAGATCTGGCTCCTCAAAGCCCAGTTCGAAATCCGACAGGGCGAGCTCACAAGCGCTCGGAAGACGCTTGGCCAAGCAATCGGCATGTGTCCAAAAGACAAGCTATTCAGGGGATACATTGAGCTAGAACTCAAGCTCTTTGAATTTTTGCGGTGCCGGACGCTGTACGAAAAGCACATTGAGTGGAACCCGGCCAATTGCCAGACATGGATCAAGTTTGCCGAGCTCGAGCGAGGCCTCGATGACTTAGACCGGACGAGGGCTATTTTTGAGCTGGCCGTCAACCAGATGGTCCTAGACATGCCCGAGCTCCTGTGGAAGGCGTACATTGACTTTGAGGAAGAGGAAGGCGAGTACGATCGTACGAGAGAGCTCTACGAGCGTCTCCTCGAGAAGACGAACCATGTCAAGGTCTGGATCAGTTATGCCCACTTCGAGCTTAACATTCCGGAAGATGAGGAAGCGGAGGAGGAGGAATCGCCGATTAGCGATGTAGCGAAGGCGAGAGCGCGCAAGGTGTTCGAGCGTGCGCACAAGAGCATGCGAGAGAAGGACCTCAAGGAGGAGAGCGTGACACTTCTCAATGCCTGGTTGTCGTTTGAGCGAATGCACGGCGCTGAGGACAATGTGGAAAAAGTGCAAAAGCTGATGCCGCGCAAGACGAAGCGCAGAAGACGTCTGGAGGATGACAGCTTCGAGGAGTACATCGACTACGTCTTCCCGGCAGACGACAAACAGTCACAAAACTTGTCAAACTTGCTGGCCATGGCGCAGGCCTGGAAGCAACAAGGGGCAGACGCCACGACGTGAAAGCTGGCTAGGGGGGATTTCGACCATGTATCATACCTGTGCCAACGATATCATTCGAAGTCAAGATAAACTTCAAATCGTTGGCTCTACCAAAGACGGGTTCGGACAAAGTATGTCTCGTCTCATGTATTTGCCTAATCAATTCAAAGTTCAGACCACGGGAACACCCATCTGCCAGCCTTATTTTGTGAAGCTCGTGTAAGAAGCTTGTAAGATGCGGCGTGCTCGAGGTCGGACTGCTACGAGTGAACCATCTATCTAGAGCCACTATCACTCATTGGCTACGAAAACCATTGGATTCATCGAGATGCTGCAGATGCATTACCCAGTCATATGACACAGTGTGGCCAATCAAAACCTCAGTGTTGGAATGGGGCATGTATGGAGGATCACAACGGCAGGCACTCAAACAGATGGGACCACAATCCGTGGAGCTTCACCATGCATGATGTCATCGCCAGTCTAGCTCCTCAGCTGCACCCTATGCGACACCATGACGACGCCGCACTAAACACCTCAAGGCCGGCTGTCGCGAGCTCTCCAAGTGCTAGATACCCCTGGGTTTCGTATCGTGATGTATATCACCTCTGCTGGTATCCGAACTGGCGAGAAAGACTTTCAAACCATATCTCTTGGCTGCCTTGAATTCTTTCTGCTGGTGTGTCGCGGTTCGAGCAGAACAAGACCAGCACCAACGGCGCATATATCATTGTAGCGTGACACGAATTCGGTCTAGGCATTTTCATACCGGGTCCGCCCGCCCCTCATTGGTGAGAGCTCCCGACCGATCTGCCGGGCAGAGGAAGCGGAAAGCACACACCATGATATCTGGACATGCTGCAGAAGCAGGCCATGCCTCACGCCGATCAGGCAATTCTTCGCGGGGCGGCGCCAACTTCGCGTCCAGGAGACGCGGGATGGGATGTCTCGGAGCTGACCGTTTGTCAAACAGCCACCAAATCGCTTGCTTTCACACGGTACTTAGCAGTGGACGACATTGACAAAGGATTCGGCGGGTGGAAGTCGTGTCTCATGGCTCAATCGGAAACTACATAACCATCCCTGTATACAGCATAAACCAAAGAAGCCAGCCCTAGCAGAAAAGAGAGAGAAAGAGAGAGAGCTGAGAGTGAAACAAAAAGAGAGAAATGAAAAGACAGATAGAGAGAGCATGGGAATGGCCCATCGCAAATCAATCCATGTAGATTGGGCTGGCCGGGAACCAAAGTTTCTCCCATAGCCCCGTTCCCAAGAATGCACGTGTTGGCTTGAGTGACTGTAAGCTAAAAGCCGTCTTTTCCGTCATATCATCATCCCGCATTTCCCCAATCTTTCCAACGTCGTCATCCCTCACCGCCGCTCTGCGCTAGTGAAAATGTCCGGACTGTCTCAGGAACAGGGGTCAGCTCCCGCAGCGTTCTAGGCTCTGTTCGCTCCGCAAGTCAGTGTGAAACCTCGCCACACTCCTCCTGACCAGCACAGCTGGCCCCAATCGGACCCTGGCGATCGGTCTCGATCGTGGTTTCGAAGGGGCCATTCATGTCTTCGTTTTGCCCGAACCCCATGTCGGAAGATTCTCCCGACTGGTTCGACAGCCACCCGTGGGGACTGACGAGAGGAGAAGCGCGGCCAGCGCCGCAACGCCTGGCAGTTGTTGGCCGATTAATGACGGCGACGGTCTGTCACATTGAAATGATAATCAGTTATAGTTCGTAGTACAACAGAAATTCCATGTGTAGATTCTGCAACAAAGGGGAGAAGGGGAATCCATCTATCTGAGTGAACGCAATGCAAGGCAGCTGATGTGAAGATTTTCGTGGAAAGCCAGTTCTACATCTGTTGCTCCCATCCAAAGATTCTCCTGTCTTCCTTGACGCGCAACTGGTGTGTCATCATGTCTTGTGCTCATGTCGTTAAGTCGTCATATAATTTTGATACCATTTTGAAAGTCGTAAGAATGTTGTGTGTCGTTGGCAAGTGGTGTGCGGAGGCGTGGAAGCTGCTCATGGGATGGCAACGCGGATGCCCGATCGATTGATCGACATTGCAGCCCTGTGCCTGTACTGGGCAGTTTTCTCATGGACTTCCCTCATCTCCTGTCGTAACCAACAGGAGGCGCTGGCAAAGGACCCGCAGAATAAGGGTTCCCGTCCATGTAGACAGATCCGTAGTCATAACGATCTGTCCGCGGAGAAGACGAAGTATACCAGTCATCGGCCCTGCCGCGTCTTCCGCCATCACTGCCGTTGAGCCGTCTCTGCCTCTCAATTCGTTTTTGGTGTCGAACGGCTTTCTCATGTTGAAATTGCTTGCACTCGTGCGTCATCTCCTTGGCTTCCTTGAGCTCAGACCAGGCACCCTTGATACCAAGAGCTGCGATTCCGACAGAGGCGGCATCTTGCAGCATTGCCTTTGTCTTGAGCTTCTTGGCTTCTTCTGGACTCAGCCGGCCCTCCCTCACAGCCTTCTGCCGTGCATTGCGTTTTTCCATACTCTGATAGACCCCATGTGCTGCGTGTATGGTGGCAACGGCCGCAAGGCCTGTTGTGATCACTTGCTTACCTCTCATCTTTCTTGCCCGCTTCTCATCATCATCAGAATCCCCGAGGTCGGAGTCTGAGCTTGCGTCCGATCGTGCTCCCCTGCGACGGGAGCGGTCCCGACGCCGGCCGCTCGTGTAAGACGATCTATCGTCATCGTATCCATCGCGCGTACTACGGGCGTAGCCCCTGTCGTAACCGTCATCATACTCGTCGGAATACTTGCGGCTCAGGCCGCGGCGGGAGCTTCGATCGTCGTAGTAACTGTCGTCCCGAGCATGTTTGTCTTTCTCTCTGTCGTCGGGATCACTGCCAAGGCCGATCTTGGCGAGCTTCTTCCGAGCTGAGTCCACAACGCTGCGGCTTCTGCTTCTGTGACGTCTGCCGTCGCGGCTGGACGCTCGGCTGTCGTAAGAATCGGCGCTACGGCCGCGGCTACGAGAGCGAACGTTCTCAATGGCCTTCTTTGCGCCGAAAGCACCTAGTCCGGCCGTGGCCAGAGCTGCCAGCCCTGGTCCGCCGCCCCCGCCGTCGGAACGAGCGCGAGATCGAGACCTGCTTCGGCCGGTCCTGCGATCTTCTTCGATATTACGCTTGGATCCGTTGATAACGCGGTTGCCTACGAGACCGCCAATGACAGACTCGGCCAAGCCCAGCTTACTCTGCTTCTCTCCGCTCTGCGCGGCATCAATGGTAGCCGCACCAGCAGCGGCAGTGAGAATACGCTTGGTCTTCTCGCCCTTCCAGCCACCGGGCTCCTTGGCGACACGGAAAGCCTCGGTGGCTCCAGCAATTAGAGATGCCATGGCGGCCTTTTGCATCTTGTTCGCAGCCTCTCCACCGGGACCGCGCGACTTGGACCGAGAACCTCTAGAGTCTGGGCTGCCACGGCGGCTTCTCGTGTCGCTGCGGCGGTCATCGTGGTGACCACCACCGGCAGCGCCCGTGAGAGCCTTGACAGCGACTCCCAGACCAGAGGCTGCTAGGGCGTTCTCGAGAAAGGACTTTGATCCTTTCTTCTCCTTCTCACCGCCTTCATCATCGGAGTAGTACTCGGTGACTTTACCATCGCGGCCACGATGCAAGACGTACGTGGCGTTTCGCTCCTCCTTTTCCTTGTGCTTATTGTAGAACTCAGCACCCTGGTAGCCAGCGAGTGCGCCGGCAGCACCAATAGCAGCGGATGTCAGGTAGTTGCGCTCAACGTCGCCGCCATGGTCTTTGGCCTCCTTCCGATCGTAGAGCTCCTTGCCACCGAAAGCCAAAGCAGCACCGGCCACAGCGGCTAGAATCTTCTCTTGCTGATTGAGAACACGCTCGCGTGATCTCTTTTCCTCCTCGTAATAAAGGCTGCCAGCCTTCCTGCTGCGGCGGTCATAATCGCGGTCGTAGTAGCCACGGTCCCGATCATCGTGACCCCGGTAATCGTCGTAATATCCAGGTTCGGCTGAACGGGTTCTCCTTGCGTCTCTGTATCCTGGGGGAGGGAAGTCCCGGCGAACCTCCTCGACCGAGAGGTCACTGTTTTCCCGAGCCCTGGGAACCAGTTCGCGAGACTCGTAAACCCTCAGGTAGGGGTCGTCGGCGTAGCGGGGGTCGACTCTCTCCTCACGTCGCTCCTCGCGGACATAGCGGCGAGTGCGGTGAGGTTCGTAATCGTAACTCATGCCGTCAGAGAGGGTAAGGTGAAGGAGCCAAGAAGGTCCGTCAAAAAGGTTGGCTGTGTTGGCGCGGGGTATAAGATGGGTCTGGTGGGAGTTGTACGAAGTTGAGTTGCAGGATTGATCACAAAACGGGTGGACGTCAGTGCTGATGGAAGATATGTCGGTATGTTGGTCTTGTGTGTCAGGCTGCCGCTTTGACAGTCCTTTTGCGTTTATGAAGTGTTGAGGACAGAAGAATGAACAGGCGAGTCACGGAGAGTAGAGGTTAGGTAGGGAGGAGGGGAGCCTAAGAAATGATGACCGCAGACCGGGGGGAACCAGGGCTGGAAGTGGTGGAAGTGGGTGGGGAGGCAAGGGTCCAGCAGGACGGGAAGGAAAGGCAAATCAGGCGTGGAATGCTGAACAGTTCAGGCAGAGCAGCCAGCCAGAAACACGCAGACCGGGCAGGGCAGGGCATGGCAGGGCAGGACGGGCAGGACGGGCAGGGTTGGGACACTGTGGGTGACCACCTATGGACATGGATGCAAGTGCTTGACGACTCAGCATTGCAACTTGCAGCAGGCACTGGACGGAGTGTGCGGGATCCAGATCAGTGCAGCACAGCTGGAGCATCATTGGATACCGGCTCGTCGCTGAGGGAGGGAATATGCCCGCCCATCTAAACGAAGCAGCCAGGCAGTCTATTTGCAGAGTCATTTGGGATTTCAACACTTGTTGGGCCAATCCAGGCAAAATGGATGGCCCCGAGACCGAAAATAGTGTGCTTTTCCCCCGTGGTGTTTGGTTTTATTTTTTC